CTATAATCTACCCCCCGTACTCAGAAATATCTTGAAAAAAGTTTTTTCTGTTCTTTTCCTTTTCCATGATTGGGTGAAACAAAAGTCGATGGTGACTCTTGCTTACCGCAACATTTACGAATACAAAATGCAAACCAGGATGGATACTACTCATCTAAGTAATCATCTTCCTGTTCATCAGGATATTTGTTTGAACCAGGATGGCTTCTTTCAGTTTTCACACTTTTACTGTCTTCATCCTGTTTGTCTTCTTCATCCAAGGGGATATCAAGGTCTCGGACTCGCCTCACTGGACCTCTGAACCTTCTGCCCATGTTGAGAACACTGGTTAGTTTCTTTGTCTTCTTCTTCTTTTCACTGGTGACCAGTAATTTCAGCTCTTCTTGCCCCTTGGCTAAGTTCAGGAACATTTGTTTGAGTTGAGAATTTTGCGCTTTGAGATATCTAATTGTCTGTTTAAGATCCATTTTTTATGTTTTCTGTAATAAATAGTAAGAAGATGAGAAAACTTGTCTTGAAAGGTACTTGTTATGTAATGAAATGCATAATATGTAGATGCAAATGCAATGTTTTCAAGGATCTTACGGGGTAAAGAAATTTGAAAGTGAATCCGATTACAACTCTGACTTGAGGAACTTTGAACCTTCATTTTTGGACGTCCTTCTATTGGAATCTAGCTTACCATATCAGGTGGATCCTAGCCTTTGACTCAAAGAACGTTCTTTGATCTTTGACGGCATCTGGTTAAAGGAAAATAAAACCTCTTGACATTTGTTAGCAATCTGGCTCATGATAATTCTGCAACAAAGATCCCTAAGATCCTTGAAATGGTTAGTAAATGCCAAGTAGGATGTCATGATGTCGTGATGTTATGTTTATGTTTAAACAGATAACAAACACAAACAAATAACACAAGAGTCTTAGGTTTAAAGGCTTGCCTGAGGTCCATAGGTAAGTACACTTTTCTATTGAAATTAAGTTGGCTCAACATGTCCTAAAATAGTAAACGGGTTCTAGGGATCTCATATCACAGATCTTTCTCAAAGGTTTTATTTTAGTACCACAACTGATTTGCCACCAAAACATCATGCGAGTCGAATCTCAATGAGTGTAGCATCGAGTATCAACCAACTTTGAACTGCACCAAATCCGTCCACCTCACTACCTTCTAATGGCCAAGATGGGTCAATTAAGTTTCTTAAAAGTCTAGTTAATGCTAATGACACCATGAGGAAGCCTAATGTCATCCTCGACTGAATCAAGGAACATTAGTATAATCCAAAGTGTCGCACTAACCGTAGATATCACTTCAACCATATCAGTCTATGTTGTATATTTTCCATGATCTATTTCTACTTACCTAAGGCACCCTATATCCGGGTATAGGATCTTGCAAGAAATTAAACCCAAACAACCCTTTAAAGTAAAAAAAAAAGCAATTCAGACAGTTAAAGCAATTAAAAGTGATCTAGACTCTAGAGTAACCCCTCTTTTTAAGTATTAAATCCCCAGCAGAGTCGTCAGTTCTGTAACACGGTGGGAGAACTGACTTTTTTTGGTTTTATCCAAATGTGCGGATAACAAGAGTCACCGCCGACTTTTCTTTTATCCAATAAGGAAAGGGTGAAAATAACAGGAAAAACCTTGAAGATTTTGAGTTCCGAGGGTAAGATATGAAAAGGGAAGGTGTTAGCAGCCTTTTCATCCGTAGTTATCTACGGGTTCTTAATCACTAGCTCACTTTTAAAAATTTCTTTTTTGTGTAAGTGTTTTGGAAAATATTTTGAAAAGCCAAAGTATGGCTATATTTGTAATGGTTCATGTATCAGCCCTCAAGAACGCGTACAAAGTGTTTTAGAAAATATTTTTGAAAGTGATGCGTGAAAATGTTTTTTTTAGAAAAGTTGTGAGCGAGCGATTAGCAGTTTTACGTACTCAAGGTTGTTCTTAATATTTTCCTTCTCCTTTAGAGATAGTGTTATCCATACCATTAGTTGGTAGGTAGCCCAATCTACTGGATGTGAAGGGACAATCGAGGGTCATCGTGTGGTCATCAAAGGAAATAAATAAGGATACTTTAGCAATTTATCAGAGGGACTAGATCATTTTTCATAGGAAACATCGAAGGGTCATCAATGGACTATGATCTTTTATTCGAAGGGACTTTGCTAAAGTATCCCTATTTTCAAGGGACATGACCATGTTTCCGAGAGGCAACAAAGGGAGGTTACCCTAGAGGTGAGTGTGTGAATAGTGATTCAATTCAATTATTTTATCTTGTATTTAGGGTTATGCTATCGGTTGTTTTTATCTTGCCATACACGCCTAATTACTAACAACATACAAATAAAGCAAAAATATAAAGTGTGGAAAATAAAGGTCCTACGCTATTACATAGTTTCGGAGCAGTTACATAATATAGATGCGAGAAAATAAAACCCTAACACTATTACATCCTCGGGGAAATTACATAATAGAAAAAAAACGAAAAAAACATAAATCTAAGCTATTACATAAGGATGCGACCTATACACTTTTATCTATAAAAAAATAAAACAAGAGAGTAAAAGGTTTTGAAAAGAGAGGAGGAAATGTTTCACTGTTTTAGAAAAATAATTTTTAATGATAAAAAATAATTAATAAACATAAAATTTCTAATTGATTTTAATTTTTTTTTAAAAAGGTTTAATTAATTTAATTAATAAAAATAAAAACCAAAATTTTCATTTTTAAGAAAAACTAAACCTAATTTAATTAGTATTAGAAAATTATTAAGTTAAAATTAGGGTTAAACTAATATTAGGGTTAATTAATTAAAAACAAAGAAAAAAAGGGTTAATAACTAAAAGTAAGAAAAGTTGCATGGGGTGGGTGTTGAAACCACCCCCTTCAGCATTGCATAATATAAGAAACCTCTATGAATTAGAAAAATATGGAAAAAAAATAGCAAAAGCCAGGGATCAAACCCACGCCCTTGTATAGTAATGCCTTAACGCACGCGCTTCTACCATTGGGGTGGCTGTACATCCGTGAATTAAACCAAACAAAATAAATATGAGATAAACAAAACCAGGTGGACCAGAGAAGCACTGAAGCCCTAGCTCCGGTTGTCTTCTCCGATGATTACTTCTCATCAACCTACAAAACATAGCATATTAGTAAACAAATAAGACCCTACCCCCCTAAATCGAGGGTTGCGAATTCAATGGTGCCCTTATTTTTGGCCAATTCTTCCTGCATGATGAGATACGAACAAGATAACACAAAATAGTGTAAGCATGGTGATATGCGATTCTGGCCTCATGGGCCTCATGCAAGGGGTTAGACATGTATATTTACATCTCAGAAACACAATGAAAGCATTAGTATGGATCAAAGCATGGTAAAAGTAAAAAAAATCTAAATTCATAAAAATATGTCAATCGGCCATGCTTGGAATGCTCGTTTTACGCACTTTTGATCATCAAGGACGATCAAGTCGTACCCTATAACACCTCATGGATTGATTGGAACGGTTGGTTTTCTTTGAGAAAGGTTGGAACATTGATTTCAAGTTTGCCCTAGTTTGGACAAATTTTGATATTTTTGAGAGGGTTCTCTTGCATGGGTTTTCGTGCCTGTAATGTTTGAATATGATGTATACACTACAAGAAAATTAGTGTTTAACGACACAAAAATTGCGACAGTTATGTGATAACTGTCGTAATTGACATATAGAGACAGTGTTTACGACAGTTGACACCAACCGTCCCTAATATTTATTTTGCGATGGTATATTTAACCATCATAATATTATTATTACGACGGTAAAACAACCGTCGGCCCCCATTTAACACTTTTAACATTGATTTTTCACCAACAACTAGTCACGACGGTAAAATTAACCGTCCTAAAAGGCATATCACGACGGTAAAGCACCCGTCGCACCTTTAAACCTTTCACGACGGTAAAATTATCCGTCCTAAAATTCATTTCACGACGGTAAAACAACCGTCGCACCCAAAACCTTTAAAAATTCTCATGGGCACGACGGTAAAACACCCGTCGCCGTAAAAAAAGTTAAAAAGCTCTTAAAAAGCTCTTATTCATTTCATTATTCTTGTTACAATTTTATTTTTACAGTGAACCCTTCATCTCTCTCCCGCGCAGCCTCTCACCCCCCAACCTTCAAACCCAGTTCTCTCTCAATCAAAACCCAACCACCAAAAACAAACAAAAAGCTAAAGATCTTACCCCTTTCGCGATTGCTTTATGACTTTCTGTCCGATTTGTTCTGATCTTCTTTCTCTCTTGCTTTGTAGATTCTGGCGAGTTCGAATGGAATAGCGGCGGCGAAGCTACGGTGATTAGCAATTAGGGTTTTAGATGTTTAAATCCTAATTGCTCTTTCTCTTTTCGTCTTCAACGACAACGCTGGTATCTCCTTCTTCGCGTTCTTCAAGTTCTCTGTTTTCTCTCCCTCTGTCTCTGTATTCTCGTCCGTTTTTTCGATTTTCTTCTTCATTGTAATCGACCCCTTTCTGTCTTCAGTCCCCCCTCTGTTAATTCTTCTTCTGTATTTATAGGCTTTAGATTTTATGGTTTTAGATCAATTTGCTGTTACAAATTGGATTAGCACAAATTAGAGATTTTAGAACCAATTAGGGATTTGATTCACTACTGTAATTGATTTTGATTTGTTGTAATATATGGATTTATGTAATAGAGATTGAATTGGATGAAGATTCTGTATTATTTCCTGAGTTTGGATTTAATATTATATGATTTGGTTCTGTTAATTATATTTTTGGGCTGGATTGTAAAAAGAAAGATTTGATTTAGTTTTCTGTATAATTTTGGATTTTGTTTGTAATTGATTTGTAATATTGTTGTAGAAAAAGAGTTGGTTTTGGTTATAATCCTTTCATTTTTATGCTCTTTAGAAGTGAGTGGAAGGGAAAACTATAGCAAAAGTTGTGCTGAAGGATGCTGAGGGAATTTCAGATGCTGAAGTTGTTCTCATGTCAGAAGAAGTTGTTTCTCATGCCCTTGAAACCATTATTGAAGAAGAACATGTTGCACCAAAAGTTGAAAAAGTTAATGACACAGGTATACCTCTGAACCTTGTCTCTAATAATGTCTTAGATTCTTCCAACTCATGTATGATGAGAATGTCTCTAAAACTCACCCCACCTCAATCTGTAAATTCACCAGAATAGACACCCTCACTCAAACATGATAAGAACCTACATACATATTTTTATCATGCTCTCTCCTAAACCAACCTCAAGATCAAAATACCTTGCTTCAGATTCTCATAATTATCCCAAAGAATATAAGGAACTATCAAGTCACCTAGTTTATGAGTTACCTAATGAGAAGAACCAGTTGGCATGTATTTCTGATTATGAATGCCAAAATCCCATGAACATTGTGGTTGAATGGGCTTATAGTTTAACCATATCTGCGTTTTGTAGGCTCTGTTGCGGTGCTACTTTTATGTTTGCTGTCTGTAAGGTAAAATCACTTTTGCTATGCTTGTTTTGCTTGGAATTCCGGTATGCCATGACGGTTCACGGTTTAATCCGTCTAGTTAGGTTTTTAAAACACTGCTATTAATAGCACTTTCAAGTAGTAACTTTTTTTCTTTTTGTCTTCACAGATACATCTAGCCATTATGGTCTAGATTCAGGATTCTACATGTCATCTTTTACAGCAACAATTTTCGTTGTTTCCCTTGTCACTCTTGGAGTTTTACTTATTACTTTGCTGGTTTCTTTGGTGATTATGCTGCAATCATGTCAAAGTAAAAGTACTGGAGTTATTGAACTTGTGAATATGAATAATTACTACAGTTATTGCAGGGTGTATTCTCTGCATGCTGAGATCAATAGGTTAGAGAGATATGATCTTCCAAACATATGTAGAGATCTGACTATACATTATATCAAAGGAGGGCATTATGCCAAAGAGTTGAATTTAATTGTGTCTATGATCGATGATTACTTCAAGAATCTGAGACCTTCAGACAATGGTTTGGATGTGGTGTTGTTGGATATAGATGATATTGTTCCTCCAAATTCGTATCAGAGGTGATAACATATTAGTGACTTGTTGCACTAACTTGCATAATTCTGGCTACTTCATAGCATTATTTGTAGTTCCACCAACTTGATGGCATTCTTCATTATTTTGGTGCAGGTTTCATAGGGACGGCATTAGCAACTGTGTCAAAGAGGCAAAACATGTAAAGCTCATGTTTGTTTTAAGATTATACATGAACCTTCAAACTGATGGGTGGCCTATAATTTTGGTATCAAGAGAACCTGAAACGTACCAAAATGTCACCATTAATCATCTTGTTTCTGCAGGATTTAGAGGTTGGTCTTCCTTGATGATGAGGTATAGTGACTATCTTCCTTTTATATCTCTAATTGCTTTAGACTTGCTTACAAACTTAGATTTAGCTTTACCAAAAGCATGATCCAATAACTGAATCTTATGATCTTATATTGTCAATGATCTGCACTTTTCCAGAACAGAAGATTCAGAGTCTACTAAAGGAAATGAGTACTTTTCTATGTAAAATCACTTTTGCTATGCTTGTTTTGCTTGGAATTTGTTGTTTTTCTATTCCCTTCACTCTCTTTCAATATTCAAAGATACCCTAATGGATTTTACTATATAATTTGTATTTTTCTAAATTATGCACTGTTATTAATCACCTACTGCACGATCATTGTTTTATTTCTAGTCTTTGTTCTTCAATGATTGGACAAGTAAATTTTAACGAATGTTGTCAAATCGCGGCCTCCATTGTTTTGAGATACGGTATTTAGTACAAAATGTTGTCATGTGGCGGTTATAGTAGTGCTATAGCACTATTGCAAAGAGGAATTTTAACAATCTGCAATTGACAAGGGACGGAATTGGGTATTAATTTGTTGAGTTTGACTAGAAAATATGTGTTAACAGGTTTTTCTCAAATGGTTTGTGGTTCTTGTAGACGTCTGCTTTCGTATCCATCAGGTGCCAAACATGTCAAATGTTCATGTTGTCAAACGGTCAACATTGTGTTTGAAGGCAAGTTTACTTTCTCTTTGCTTCTTTTTATCTTGAACGTGTATTTTCTGTGAAACTTTGCACTTTAAGTTCAGCTTTTATGCACCTGGTTGATTAAATACTTTCATAAACAATTTCATGATGGGAAGAACAATCCTGCTATTGGTAGTTGCGTGCTTGCTGCTGCAAATAATCTTGTGTAAAAAACATGATACGGCATGCATTATCGTTTTGTGTGGCAATCTATTTATATCATAGGTCATTTCTTCCCTGCAGCTGATCAGGTCGGGCAAGTTAAGTGTGGGAGTTGTACGCTATTGCTAATGTATCCATATGGCGCTTCACAGGTCAGGTGTTCATCATGCCGGTTTGTGACAGAAATCGGGGTATGTTAACTGATGTTATTCACTAATTTCCTTTTTGATGTGGTTTTCTGAATAAAGTTTGAAGCACAATATAAACTGTGCAATCAAAGGCAAACTGTTGTTTCCATTTAAATGATCACATTCTCATGCAGGCAATCAAAGACACTATTAAGAAGATGTTTAAGGACAATTACCTCAACTTATACACAACTGATGTGGATACTACAGGTTGGATACACACCAAGTGTGGCTTTCCAAGCATGGAAGAAAGCATATTAGATCAGTTGAATGAAGAGTTGAAAGAGAAAATAAAGAATGATGTTTATGACATGGCTCCTTGGAAATCTCCAAGTCCAGATGGATACCGTGTAGGCTTTTATCAAAACTCTTGAAATTTGGTAGGTGGTAGTGTGTGTACCTTCATCAAGGAGTTATGCATCAAGTCAGCTAACATATCAGAGGTAAATAGCTCATATCTTTTCCTAATACCTAAAGTAGATAACCCTCAATATGTTCATCACTTCAGGCCAATATCCCTTTGTAACTCTATATATAAAGTTTTTAGCAAAATCATTATAAACATATTGAACAGTTGTATGGATAGATTTGTTTATCTGAATCAAACAGGTTATATTCCTAGGAGGAATATTCATGATAATATAATGGTGACTCAAGAGATTCTCCACAGTATGCACAAGCTTAAAGCAAGAAGAGCTTTTTTGCCATCAAAGTAGATTTAGCTAAGGCATATGACATGATCAGTTAGATTTTTATGGATAAGGTCCTAGTTGAGGTTGGCATTCCAAGCAAGTTGTGTGATCTTATAATGGGAGATATCAGGGCTTGGGAAGATTCTTAAATCGGGCCTGGAATCAGACTCCAAGATCTCATCAATTAGCCTATTGGAGATAATGTGAATACAACAATTGCAGACTTAATTAATGATGATGGAAATTGGAATTGAAGCCATTTAAGGAACATGTTCAGTCGGAAGTTTTTGGATATAATGCTTGTAATACCTCCACCAAGAACAAGGATATAGAGGATCATTGGAAAGGCATTTGGAATCTGAGTGTTACTAAAAGAATAAGGGTTTTTGTGTGGATGATATATCATAATGGAATCAAAACCAACCAATATCTAAACCACTTGAATCTTCCAGATAATTTGTGTGATTACTGTGATGGAAAATGTAGTAGTGTTGTAGCTGAGCTTTGGTGAGTAATGGAAGGCATTGATTTAGCTCGCACAAGGGCATAGAGAAGACTGATGGTGCAAGTAGACATCAACCAAGTTTTTGAAGCTCTCACAATGAGCTTAGTCGAGAAAGGTCTAGGTTTAAATCTGATTCCTAAAATCCAGGAATTTACAAGCACTAATGAAGACATTTCTATCGTCTATATTTACCAAGTTTGTAGAATATTGTAACATTTTTTGTAATTCTCTCAAGTTGTAGCAAACCAATGTAAATATTAAAATGAAATTTGGCCTTTGATGATATTTGAATTTTTCTTGTTTATTGGTAAAATTTGCACTTCTTTTTACCTTTGATCACATTTTTTTGATATTATTGATGATTATTTGATATTAAATGTTTTTATTGTAATTAACTTTATTATGTTGAAAAGTGATAGAAAATAAAATAAAAATACTATAAATAAAAAAATATTAAAGTAAATAATAATTTAAATATAATAGTAAAATATTATAGTAAAATAATATTATATTTAAAATTATTTTACTAAATAATAATTTAAATAAAAATATTATTTGAAATTTATGAATCAGATTACGACGGTTAAAACCGCCGCAATTTCTAACCTACGGCGGTAGAATAACCGTCGCAAATAACAAAAACAAAAAATAAAGTCAAATTCACGACGGTATATAACCGTCGCTATCTGTTGTGCGTGACAGTTTTTGCAACCGTCGCGAAATAGGCTGGGGACGCACGATTCTGCGATGGTACTTCTACCGTCGTAGATTGTAAATTGCGACGGTTTTAACCGTCGTAATCAGCCAAAATAACCGTCCCAATCTATCATTTTTCTTGTAGTGATATTTATAGGCCATGAATTAGGTTAAAAGGATGGGCTTGGACTTTGAATGAGAACCTTTGATTTTGTTTGAAAATAAAACTTGAATAAGACAAAAGAAGAAGATTTGCTATAAGAATAACCTTCATACAGTTTTTGTACCATCTTGGGCCTCCAACATGTTTTATTTAAAGGCCTCTTAAGCATTGCACCTTCGTTTGATATTTTTATTTAATTTTGAATTTAAATAAATAAAATCAAAATAAATGAAATAAAAAAGTTAAGAGGGTGTATGAATAGATTTAGAGGTTCACTATGAGGTCTAGAACATGTTTGGACCTTGAAAGGTAGGCCCATTAGCCCAAAACTTCAAGTTTGATCAATTTGGGTTTCATGCATTTTCTTAAAATTGCCCAACTTGTACAACTGTTAACTTGCTCAAGTTTTATCATATGAAGGTGATCTTTGACTTTTTGGAAATTTTAAGATGTTCCCTACAACTTTCATGTTGTTCATTTCTCCATTTGAAGACTTTATCTTAATGTAAGTTTCTTTGATAAAAAGTGTCTTTTTGTTGACTTTTAAAATGACCTGTAATGTTTTGGCTCATATCTCTCAAATTAAGCATTTTTTGGCCTTGAGATTAGAGAGACAAAGTTTTATAGAATTTAATTTCCATGAAAATGAGCTTTGGTTAAGAATTTTCTGATGAAGCATGTGAAAGTTATGCTTGGTCAAAGTTTAGTTGACTTCTCATAAAGAAAACCCTAATTTAGCAACTTTTGACTTTTGATGAATCTTGAGTTTTCTTGAAGAATCATGATAAACCCTTTATCAAATGGTGAATGTGACCTCAAAATATTGATGTTGACCAAAAATCTTGAAGTTTGACTGTATGTTGACCATAGTTGAGTTTTTGTCCAATATAGTTGATTTTCAATCATCTGAGCAATTGACTGAGCAAATTTGGGATGTAAGGCTTAAAATTTGACATGAGGATACCTTGATACATGTGAGAAACCATGTAGTCCACTTGAGGCATTAGAAGTCCAATTTCCTAGTAGAAAACCAAAACCCTAATTATAGGCCACTGCTTAGGAGGATGATCATCTGATCATTCTTGAGTAGTCTTGAACACTTGATAAGCTTAGGAGCATGAGAAAGTCTTTTGAAATGGGAGGGAAAATTTTGGGGTATAACACCATACAATCCTAATTACTAATCATAGCATAAAAATATAAGTGCGAGAATATAAATGTCCTATGCTATTACATCCTCGGAGCAGATACATAATAAGAACAAAGATGCGAAAAATAAATCTACGCTATTACATTAGAGAATGCATCCTATACACTTGGCTAAGAAAATAACTAGAAAAAGATAACTGAAAGTGTTAGAAAAAGATATTTAAAACCTTAAGATTCTATGTGTTAGAAAATATATTTTTGGTGTTTTGTAGAAAATAATTTAAGTGTTAAAAGTAATTAAAAAAAACCTAATTTCTAATTCATTTTAATTAATAAAAACCTAAAGTCTAATTAGTTAAATAAAATTAATTGGTTAAGAAATAAACTTAAAACTAATTATGTTTTAAAAGGTATTTTATGGTTTTTGGTTAATTAGAAAAAATAGATAATTAAATGGAATGAAAAACAAGGGTTAGAAAAACTGAGAAAATAAGATGCACGGGGTGGGGATCGAACCCACCCCATTTGGCTCAAAGGTGATTGCTTCGTCCATTAGGCTATAGGCTTGTTTGTGATTGAGAATGAGTATCAATCAATATATAATGAACCTGCGTTAACCTGGAAATAAAAGGAAATATTTTGACAAAAGAGGGAATCGAACCCACGCCCTCTCATTTAACAAGCATCTCACTTACCACCTGGCCATAGTTGTTTTGCATCAATTCAATAACACGTAATATATATAAAACAAGTTAGACTCTAAAAATCAGAAATCAACAAGAATTGAAAATGTGCGCTAGTGGTGGGGGCAGAAGTTTATAAATGGACCAATCAGAGAGAGGGAGGGATCCACGCATTCCCTTGACCTAGGTCAGCGCCACCACCAATGATGGTGCCACCTTCTTCTCCAGTGAGACCAAATTCCAAACCTAAAAAATCTAAGAAAAATGAAAAAGAGAAGCATCTATATCCACTAATTGAGACCTCACGAATTCAATGGTGGTGTTAGTTTTGACTGAGAAGGCTTGTAGCTAGGGTTTCGAAGCTTTGAGAGCTTCGAGCCCTAACAATGGTGAATTGTGATACCTGCACTCAAACTCAGAAATAATGGTTCAAAATAATTCTAATCATCAATATAAGCATGAATATATGCATAAAATTCATTTATATTGAATGAATAAGTAGTTTGAAATTGCAAAACATGAACAAACTAGAGATGTTTGGTTGGAGAGTTCAGAGATGTTGTAGACTTGTGTAGTGATTGGGAACGACTCCTGGAGGTCTCAGGAAGCTGATGGAATGCTCAAAGTTGATTGAAACTTACTGGAGAAAGAGATTGTTCGTGCCCTAGTTTCTTTGCAAATTTAAAGAATTAGGGTTGGCTCTACAAGCTGCTATCAGTTCTCCCTTTGGTCTAAATGTAATGAGTATATATAGAAGAGAAAATTAGGTCAAACAGTGGGCTTGGATACCTCATGAAATCATATCTTTGATTTTGTTTGAAAATAAGTTGATATCTTCCAAAACCAATGAAGATCTGGTTCACAAATAAGTCTACATGGTTTGTAGCATGGCCCTGAGCCTCTACAAGATTCAAATCACAAGCCTTTTATGCCTTACACATTTATTTAACATTTATTGATTTAATTTTGAATTTAAATGAATAAAAATCAAAATAAATGAAATAAAAATAAAAATGAGGCATGGATGGACATAGAGGTCCTTTAAGGTGTCATGGACACGTTTAGACCTTAAAAGATAGGTTTGTTAGTCTGAAAATTCAAGTTTGCTCAAATTGAACTTCATGCACTTTCTCCAAAATTGCTCAACTTGCACAACACATAATTTTCTCAAAATTTGTGATATGAAGGTGATCTTGGAATTTTTGGAAACCTAAATATGTCTCCTACTACTTTCATTTTGATTATTTTTTCATTTTAAGTCTTTAACTTGATATAAATTGCCTTCATAAAAAGTCTCTTTTTGTTGACTTTCAAAATGACTTGTAAAGTTTTAGCTCATATCTCTCAAATGAGGCATTTTTGGCCTTGAGCTTAGAGAGACAAATTCATAGATAATTGAATTTCCTTCAAGATAGGCTTTGGTTTAGGAATTTCTGATGAAGTGTGTGAAAGTTGTGCTTGGTCAAAGTTCAGTTAACTTCCCCTT